ACTGTAGGGTAACTATGGATTGGGGTCCTGACACTTGGCGACCCTATGGACAATGGACTAGTGAAGGACCACTGAGGAACACCACTTGGCGACCTGGACCCAGTGGAGTGCACTCATCTTACCTGAATTCAAGGTATAGAGGGTTACTTGTCGATTTACCAAACTTACTTTTCAGTTAGCCACTATTTCTTTTGTACAGTTTCTCTGTTATTTCCCCCGTAAACTTGGAGTTTTGTTGGATTTCGCTATAAAATTATCCCTCAATTAAGATGCATCTGTAAGATAGATCACACTCGGCTATTTTAAGGAGTGGTTTTGAGATACAACGCACAGCTTATCATCCTCATCCGTATGCTCGAGTCAGTTTCTTCAATCAAGCTGTTCCCACTCCTCATGCAGGTCGTTTCTTTAGTCATATTTTTTAGAGAGTGAGCATTCCATAAAGTCCATTTTTAGAACTCTCCCGTCATCGCTCGGAGTTTCGAGAAGCTCGCACCACCATCAGCAGGGGTTTGTTTGCAGACTTCTCGGAAAGTGCTGTTCCTGACCCGCTGATTCTTAACTGCGAGATTAGTGCACAAAAGGTGGACATCAGCTGGAAACCTCCAACACATTTGAGTGAGTGTACTATGTTGGAACTCCTAGACTCCTCTATGTTTTTGGTGTGCGTTTTACCACAAATATCAATTTATTTCGTTCAGAAAGCATCCGATACCTTCTAGAAGTTCAGGACAAAGAATCCGGGCGAAAGTGGGTCTTTGATCAATCATGGGCGCAGACCCAGCGGGAACTCAAAACTACCCCAGGAAACACATATTGGTACTGCTTTGATATCTTCAATTTTTCTCGCGTTTTTTCAAAATTGTTTAGTATTCGATTAGAATGTGAAAATATCAAGGATGGCAGCGTCATAGCAGCTGTATACAAAGAAATTAAAGCTAGTACGAGTATACTGTTAAGCTATGAATTTTTCTCGAATGGAATTTCTTTTTTTAGCGTTCAGCTACGACGAAATGAAAAGAATGTATTTTAAATGCGTCAACTTTGTTGGGACACAAATGCAAGCTTTTGAAGTTTTGTATAGGTAAGTTTTTCCTCGTTATCTATCAGCCTCAACTTTATAAAGTCTAATCAAACCGTAGAGCAACAATTTTAGAAATAGTTCAATTTTTTCCCAATGAAGTGATGTCAGAATGACTTCTTTACATGTTTTTGTCCAGATGTAAACCGCGAGAATACTGGGATGAAATTCATAATTGTCGCGATGACCTCATGGAAAAGTACATAAAGGACAACAATGGTCAACCAGCAAATCGTATTAATGGCATCATTTCTGGTATGTTGTTGATGTGAGCTCACACGCAATATTTCATTTGATTCGCAGTTCCTCAAACAAAGCTGCTTTTAGTCGCTAAATACCTAGTTAGCCTAATATGGGACTACACTGCGTGATTAACAAACGCCTGCACCCTTTGAAATGCGAATCATCGTGGATAAGAAATTTGCTACGCATTCCATGTTTTCATGCTCGATTTTCTAGTTTTCTCTTGTTCCTCGATTTCCTTTTATTAGTCCATACTGGTGATACTAGTTGATGAAAGAATTAAGAGAGCGGCTATGAAATACTACTCCTTAACATTTGATTGTAATTAGTGAGAATATAAGAAATATTCAAAGCAGTCTAGCAAAAATAGCTGTTTGACTGTATAGCCCCAAAACAGAACTTTAGGCCTGTTCTTCTCTGCTCGGGTTTACGCCGATGGTTCGCTGCCTACTCATTCGCCATTTGGAAATGTGCGAATGTTAGTGCCGCCTGGTGCTTTGCTCGATCCAACTATCAATAATTTCTACTTCGCCGATTTTTATTGCAACTACTACACCCACTATGTTACGGTAGTGATATGCCGGAAAGGATCGGAAACCGATAAGTATGTGCAAACATGATTTATTTAGAACATTTTCTGTGCCTAATTTATCTTTTGAAGTTACTGCTACACAAGGCTGTACCAAATGAGCCCAGAGGATAATCCCTTTCTTACGGTAAATGTTTAGGGTAGAACATTTATTCTTTGTTCGAACAAGTTCAACATACAGGTGGTTCCTTCCCCACATCCACATTATCCACCCACTTATTGGGTAAACAGTGGCGTGTGGGTCGAGATCTACTACACGGAGGATGTTCCTTTATGGTTCGGACGCTTTGATAATATTCAAACTACAGGTAAGTTTGAGGCTCTGGATGAGTGAATTGGAGTTGTTCAGTTGACCTTAATTATCTGCTTAGGTGCTGGGACATCCAAAATAGGCGGCCTACCGAACAATAAACATTGTGAGCGGTGCAACCTTTATCCGGTGCCATATCCAGATGAAGTTGTGGTTCTTGATGACGAGACAGGCGCTGATGCAGGTGTTGCCGATATCACAGTGGCTGAAGATCCGTTGAATTCAACCTTCCGGGTGCTTATGAATGAGGTTGTTTCATAATATATTCGACAGCTAGGCTCTATTCAGTAAAAGTTTATATTTTCAGCGTAAAGGTGACGTTGCTGAAGAATGGGAAGACATAGTTGAAGTCATCTGTGGTATGGTTGATCAGGTGTGCGAGATGGACAATCAGCCAAAGGTGGGTTTTCTCTTGCTCGTTTGCTCTTAGAAAGGTGAATGGCTCTGGTTTATAAATTTATGAGTGTACGACTATTTCCTTA